TAAAAATTCTCTAATTAGTCTGGAAACGGGGGACCTAATTCTTGCATTCTGTGAAAACGGGTAAGATTAGCTATAATGTAATTATCTTAATCTTCACTATCGTTACTTTTTGCCCAGCGAAGCGGGTCCTTGCAGCTAGATTCTAGATTACTTAGAAAAACAGTCTTTTATATATATAAAAAAAAACTATATTACATACAAATAAAAACCCAGCGAAGCGGGTCCTTGCAGCTAGTAATTATATATACTTAATATATAATTATATATACAGTACCTAATTTATATATAATTATATGTACAGTACCTAATTTATATATAATACTGTACAGACAATAGTAATCTCTCTGTAGCGTGGCGCTACGGACGGTGGGAAAGTAGTTCGGCTGCCCGATGACGTTTTACGTAATTATAGGAGTTTTTTACGGGTTTTTACGGATACCGTTGCAATTTTTTTGCAGTTTTATAGGAATCGTAATTATAGGGGGGTCTACTGTATATAACAAATTTTCATAAATTAATTATTAATAGCACTACTGTAACTTTATATTTTACTAAATTCTTATACATAATAGTGTATTGTATTAAAAGAGATTGAGATTAATTATATGTTTTCGTTATTTTAACAGGGTTCTTTGATAAGTCTTTGTGATGATAATTCTCTTCATTTATGGGAATTAAATTTAAAAGATGGAAAATGGATAATGGAAGAAGTGAAATCATGTTCACTAGAAGGAAGGTATGAAATTTTTTAAATAATAACAAAAAAGTTTTTTATACATATAAATTTTATGTTCAGATAATTAATACAAAATCTTGCTTAGTAAACAATATGTTGACTAACACGCCAAAATTAATTAATAAACAAAAACAAAAACACTGAGTTCGGCGTTATATGCGTTTTATTATCGCTAGTACTTTCGACGAGCTTATTGTCGTCGTCCTCAGGCGATTTAGACAAAAATTATCGAACACAAAATAGAACGCGTAATATAAATTGAAATTGTGCTAAAGCCGTTAAGAACACGTAGAAATTTAAACATAATTCGAAAGCCGAACGAGCAGATAGCTCCGTGAAGTGCGAGCTGGCGCATGCGCAGAGCTATGCTCTCGCTGCATGCATTCTAGAGACTACGAGTACTCGCTTAATCGCTTATACAACGTGACCCATACACTGGGCAGCTCAAGGGTAGGGGTGTTGCAAGTGTCCAAGGTGGTAGTGAGGAGAGATTCCCATATAAAAACAGTTTTTCGATCTTTGCAGCTCTTGAGCATAACCACTTGGGACCATAGCGGGTTGTAACCCTGCTCAAGTACCTTTTTTGCGAGCTCGGTGGTGTGTCTTCCCCTCATAACATCGTCTTGGTGCTCATCAAGGCGGCTGGAAAGCATTCTAGTGGTGGCCCCGATATATCTTGTATTTACTCCCATTGCCTGATTTTCCAACGGTACAGCATAGACCCCCGATTTCTCAAGAATGGAAAATTTGTCTCTATCATTGCAAATAAGTTTGCGTAGGCTTGGAAGTGGGGTTAAAGGTAGAACAAGGTTGTGCTGCTTAAAGATTCTGCAGATACGTAAAGATATGGGTCCAAAGTAAGGCAACGCTACTTGAACCTTTGAAGATTCTCTTTTGCTGCATAAAGTAGTACATGGAAACAGTGCCTTGTTTACCTTATTGAGCACATACGTAAANAATACAAGATATATCGGGGCCACCACTAGAATGCTTTCCAGCCGCCTTGATGAGCACCAAGACGATGTTATGAGGGGAAGACACACCACCGAGCTCGCAAAAAAGGTACTTGAGCAGGGTTACAACCCGCTATGGTCCCAAGTGGTTATGCTCAAGAGCTGCAAAGATCGAAAAACTGTTTTTATATGGGAATCTCTCCTCACTACCACCTTGGACACTTGCAACACCCCTACCCTTGAGCTGCCCAGTGTATGGGTCACGTTGTATAAGCGATTAAGCGAGTACTCGTAGTCTCTAGAATGCATGCAGCGAGAGCATAGCTCTGCGCATGCGCCAGCTCGCACTTCACGGAGCTATCTGCTCGTTCGGCTTTCGAATTATGTTTAAATTTCTACGTGTTCTTAACGGCTTTAGCACAATTTCAATTTATATTACGCGTTCTATTTTGTGTTAGATAATTTTTGTCTAAATCGCCTGAGGACGACGACAATAAGCTCGTCGAAAGTACTAGCGATAATAAAACGCATATAACGCCGAACTCAGTGTTTTTGTTTTTGTTTATTAAAATCTTGCTTAAAAATATAGTTTAAGTATATTTTAATATTTGTCTATAAACATTATATCCAAAAAATTTACTTAAAAACTAGAAAATGTATCTGTAGAAGACATGATGACAACCATAATAAATTGCAGCAAAAGTTTAATGAAAGTTGAAGATCATTTTCAGCATTGTCAATATGCCTGCTTCAGAAAATTTAACAGGTTTAAGATTTATGACCTGAAACAGATCTATTAATGAGACTGAAAACATTTGTCAATTTTCATTAAGTTTGTTGGAATTTATTATAGTTGTCTTTGTGTTTTCTACATTACATCAATAATGTTTCTAACTTATTTCAGCTAACAAATAAATCAGATTTTAAGTTAATTTCTTCAGCATTACTTTTGTTATGCAAAAATGACACAAAATACTATATATTACATAAATGAAACTGCTTTCTTGAGGAAGTCAAATTTATTTATCATGAAGAAACATTTTTGACTTATTTTAGGTTGTCATCAGCCTGAAATTGCAACTGCTTAAAAATGGAATTTATTATTTATAAATTTAATTGCAGTTATAAAACTAAATATATTTTTCGTTTTAATTATGTTTAATTACATTTATATTAATATTTTCAGATTTAAAAAGATTTCATCTTGTTGCCTTCAGTCAAGTGGAGAACATTTGTTGATAGGTACTGAAGGAGGAAACATATATCTTTTGGATGTGAAATCATTTGAAATGACAGACCATATTATTTATCAAGATGTTGTAATGCAAAAGTAAGTTCTATATCTTAATATTTGTATATAAATATATAAAAGTTTTTTAAAAATGGAATATCCATTTTTTAAGGAAGTATCATATCTATAATTAGTTGCAATACATTACCAATATTCTTATCCAGTAATTAATTATCAGTGAAGTGCAGAAATTCAAGAATTTTTTAATTTTTGATTAGAACTATCTAATTTAAGTGAATTAAATATTTAAAATTATTTTTTTTTTACATTAAATTTTATGATTTTATTTAGATTGATTGCATCTTTAAAAATTAATTTTTTTTATATTATTTATTTGAATACAATCAACTTGCATTAATGCAAATTGAATCATTAGGGAAACAGTAGTTAGTTTACTTTATGGAAAATTCATATTAACAATTTTCAGGGTCAAGGTCAAGGCTGTATAATTTTCAGAGTTTAAGGATTAATAGGCAATTGAAATCTCTAAATTATAATATTTTGAATTAATTTACTAAATAAAGTTAAATAAAATGTTCATTTAATTTTGTAAAAAATTTAAATCTAAATGATTTTCAAATCAAACAAAATGAGAAGACAGTTGTTTGAGTGGATCAGAGTGGTTAAACAAAACAAAGTTAAAAGAGATCTGATTTCTTTTTCTGTTGAAGATTGATTCAAAAAGTAGAAAACATTTTTTTGCTTTAAAAGAGTGGAAAAGGAGCCAAACCTGGCATCACTGTATTCACCCCTGATATGTAAACTAGCACATGTTTGCAAGGGACTGCATCAATTTAAAGGTCTGGTTGTCCTTAAACTTTAACCCCTATTTTCCAATTACAGTACAATGGTCTGCTAAAACCAGATGTTTGAATTGCTCTACAATCAAGGTTGAACTCATCGTTGCTTAGTAAGAGAAAATTATTCTACTCAAAATAGAACATTTATTATAGTATCACTTTGCTTTTTTTACTTTTTGATGTGAATAATAAAATCATTATTGGAAATAGGTTTATTTCTTGAGGGTTGTGAAGATAATTTACAGTTCAGTTTAATGAATTCTGATAAAATTTTTGTTTGCTTTATCACATAAAAATTAATGTTGTGACATGACAATGGCATTTTGCCAGAGCAATGGCAAAATTCACTTTAATGCAAGATTTTGCTTTATTGGTATTTGTTTTAAGGTGAGCTGACTGTATAGTTAATTTATTATTTCTTATTTAAAGTAAATTCTTTATTGTTTCAGTGTCCCTGATGATTATAAAATAAACCCAGGAGCAGTTGAAGCAATTGCTGAGCATCCAACAAATGCAGATAAAATTTTAATAGGTTATAACAGAGGTCTTATGGTTCTCTGGGATAACAAAGCTTTAAATGCCGAAAACACTTATGTTGGTAGTCAGGTAAGGAAAATATAAATTTTGATGTAAGTTACCAAAATAGAATTTACTTAATGTCATTTAAATTCAAATTATAAAGAAAATATCAATTCAGTTTGAAGCTTTTCCAACCTTATATATGTGGGGGACCCAAAAATAACCGGATTTTTTTGTATAAAAACTTTATTTATTAACTTTTTTACAAATTCCTTCAGTCACCTTCAAAGTAATCTCCATTAGATGCAATGCAATTGTGAAGTCTTTTTCCCCATTGTTTGAAGCATCTCTGGAACTCTTCAACTTTGATATCGTCCAGTGCCCATAGTGAAGCTGTTTTTACCGCCTCCACATCATCAAAATGCTTCCCTTTTAGATTTTTCTTCATTCTCGGAAACAGAAAAAAGTCGCACAAGGCTAGGTCTGGTGAATACGGAGGGTGGGGAAGGACAGGCCATCCCCGAGAGGCCAAATAGTGAGTCACTCATAAGGCCATGTGTGCGATGGGTGGTTGTGATGGAGGAACCAGTCACCTGATCGCGAAAGTTTTGAGCGAGAGTCTGTGAGAGGATGTGCGAAGGAAACCTTTGCACATCCTCTCGCAGACGTCTTAACATTTTTTGGTGGATTTTTTCAACATTTTCATCATTTCAAGATGTTGAAGGACGCCCAGAACTTCGCAGGTGGAACAAAATAACAGTAAGAGAAACACAACACTACACTCAAATTTAAACTTACAAACTGAGACTGTTTAGACAGCTGTTTCATGAAGGTCTCTACTAACCCCATGTAACGGGAGAACTCTCTACTACATCTACGAATGGCAGCACGCGCTCAGTTCAATTTTTTTTGGGTCCCTCCTCGTATATATATTTTTTTTATTTATGTTTGTTTAGTTTATTTGTAGTTATTTGTTTTATTATTAAAGAATTCATTATTATAAACAAAATATTTATTGTTTCTGTAAACAGTTTTAATTTTCAGTTCTTTATTACTCTCTTGTATTCATGAAGAATATGAAAATAAGAGTGAACATCTTTGGTATGACATTATGCATGTGCATATATCAGGATTGACAACATATGTGGGTAATGTGTATTCAAATAACTGCTTTGTAAGAGGGTAGGCTGAAAAGTAATTCACACATGCTTGTAGAACACAAACAAAAGCAAATATCAAGATCGGGCAAAAAGTACATTAAAGTACAGTTCTTAAGCTTCAAAATCATATATTTATTTTTCAACATCGTCACCGTTAAGGCTAACACATTTCTCCTAACGTGTAACAAGTTTTTTCATTCCGTCACTGAAAAATTCTTCCGACTTTTCTCGAACCCAGGACTTGACAGCTGCCTTCACCTCATCGTCCGAAATGTAATGATTACCCTTGAGGTCGCTCCGAGTAGAGGGGAAAAAAATAAAAATCGCAAGGCGCAAGATCGGGGGAATAAGGAGGGCGTGGAATCGGTTCAAACTTCAGGTTTCGCAGAGCCTCTCCAGTTGCTCACTAGGTGTGTGGACGAGCATTGCCATGATGCAAGATTATTGGCGCCAGGCTGCCTCTAACACAACAAATAATCACCTGGCACTAATAATCTTGCAACGTGGCAATGCTCGTCCACACACCTAGAGAGCAACTGGAGAGGCTCTGCGAAACCTGAAGTTTGAACCGATTCCACGCCCTCCTTATTCCCCCGATCTTGCGCCTTGCGATTTTTATTTTTTTCCCCTCTACTCGGAGCGACCTCAAGGGTAATCATTACATTTCGGACGATGAGGTGAAGGCAGCTGTCAAGTCCTGGGTTCGAGAAAAGTCGGAAGAATTTTTCAGTGACGGAATGAAAAAACTTGTTACACGTTAGGAGAAATGTGTTAGCCTTAACGGTGACGATGTTGAAAAATAAATATATGATTTTGAAGCTTAAGAACTGTACTTTAATGTACTTTTTGCCCGATCTTGATATTTGCTTTTGTTTGTGTTCTACAAGCATGTGTGCATTACTTTTCAGCCTACCCTCGTAATATCATCCAACAAATTTCTGGGAAACATCAGTGTTCATGTCCTCCTGTATACTGAAATTACCTTTAATTAATAACTTTCTCTCATATTTGAAGTAGGTCTCAAGAAAAATTATTCCTAACTCAGAAAAGTTAATGGATTGTTATTGTGATTTATTAATGATTTAGTGGATGTACTATACAAGAACATAGTAATTTTAAATTTTGTGTTACATTATTATAATTCAGTTTTTTATTAATAGCTGAAATTAAGCTATATGGAGAATAGCAATGGGATGCTTGCATCATACAGGACTTGGTTTATCCAGAATTGTCTTATGTTGTTTACTAACATTTTTATTTATATTTAAAGATTATTATCAAATATTTATCTATGTTTATTAATTTTGCTGTAAGAAATTAAAATAATAATTCATAATCTTTGTATTCGGATTTATAGATGGTCTCCAACATACAATGGCATTTTTTTCAGGTCTCTTATCATAAGTCAAGCATAAATAATGATGATAATGGGATACTGTTTCCAAAGCTGCCCATAAGTCTATATAATATCATATGCACAGTACATGTATTGATATATTGTAATTAATTACTGTGCATATTTACTGTAAAGCAATAGAATGACACTGTTTATGTGCATTGCATTTTCATTCAATGTTTTATGATTTTAATTTATTAATTAATTAATTATATCATTTTATTGATAAAGTTGATGGAAACAAACTTTTTATCAAACAAACCAAACAAAGTCAATCCTTTTCAAAAGAATCAAAAATTATTTCAAGGGAGCATTGTAATCTTTTTATGGAAATGATTTATTTTTATTATTAATTCATTTTAACCTTATAAAATTGAAATTAAAAGGATAATTGTGGACCAAATAACTTTGTAGAAAGTTAGTTTCATTATCACTTTTGAGGATCTAATGATACAAACCCAAGTTATAGTTAAGTATGAATAAACTTACTAGTAACTGTTTATTATCTACTGAATATTACATTTAACAATTAATTATTATATCACATTATTAGTAAGTATGAATAATTGTGTGGACTTGAAAATGACTTTCTAATACATTAGTTTGTCATTGTACATATTCATGTTCATAACTCTGGGACTAAGAAGTTTGAAGGAAGAAAATTTAACTTTGCTGTTCATTGATTATGGACCATATTATTGTTAGAATTTGTGCCTGGATTTGAGATATTTAATGTGATGTAATACATGCCCTGTTGTATATTACATATTAGTATTTTATTTGTATTATATGAGAATCTAAAATAACTTTAACAATTTCTTTCAGCAACTTGAGTCCATTGCTTGGCATCACGATGGAACTCAGTTCATGAGTGCTCACAATGATGGCAGCTATATAATATGGAATAAATCTGATTCAACTAAACCTTCTCAAGCACCTCATACGCCTTATGGTAAAACTTAACTTTATTCATTTTATGTAAAACTTAATGTTAGGCATGCCTCCGGTTTAGTTTATTACAATCTAGTATATAAAAATATTCTAAGAGTTATTATTAGCAATGTTTATTTTTCATAAAAGTATAAATTTTTAGAATTTTAATTGTGATTTAGCTTTTGATTTGTGATAAATAAGAAAATGATTTATTTGTAATAAAATTCTTTAACTTCATAATGTAAAATAATGAAAATAATCAGATTAAAGTATTTTCATATAAGTTTCATAATGATATTGAATTATCAGTAGATGGTATTTAAATGAGTCAAGTCAATTTAATTGACTCATTTAAAGTTAGTTCAAAAAAGAGTGTTCTCAGGCATCCATCAGAAAAACTATTACTACTACTGCAACTACATTGTTTTTCTAAAGTCATTTGTGAAATACATTATTACAGCTCTTTGTTAAATAATACATTTATCTAAATAATTTTTTTAATGCCTTTGTAATTAAGTTAAACAATAATATATTACTATTTTATTATGTTCAATCAATAATAATCACTTATCTTAGCATGGATTTTTGGGAGATTAATTTTTCAACTAGTTTATAAATTAATTAACTGTTTAAGTACAGAAGCTAAAGCTTCTGAAAAGCTTTAAAAGAGAAATGCTATTTTTTTAAAATCTTCTAAAAAGTTAAGAGTGATGATTACAAAATAGGAGATAGAAAAAGTATGTTTTGTTAGTCAATAATAATTGAAATCTATACCAACTAGATTCTTCAGAATTTCTCATTAGAATATCAATATTCTTTTCAGAAATCTTTACTAGCTGGATGGAATGGTGTTTTCAGGTGGACAAAAATTCTGTGCAGTATTATTTTTACTTCTGTATATTTTGCATTAGTTTCTGGAATATGATGTCTCCTCCTGATTTTCAGACAATTTTTTCCACACTGTTCTGCTAATACATATTTCTTCCTTCATATCTCATTTTTCATTATTTTTGAATGTTTTTTCCAGGTCTTTCTTTCTACTCTTCTATGATTTGCAGTTTCTATACCAAGACTTTCCTTGGCAATTTATATTCTGTAATTCTTAAATTACCACATCATATTACCCAGTACTTTTATAAGCTGGACCAAAACTTTATTTTAACACCAACAGTTTATCATCATTCATGTGGATGTGGATGTGGATGAATGTTTTCAACCAAATTATAGGTCTTCTTCAGGAGAGAACAAAAGGTTTAAGACCTATAATTAGTTTGAAAACATTTGTTCATGTCCACATGAATGATGAAAAATTCCTGCTGGTGTTAAAATAAGGTTTTTGGTGAGTTACTCATATTATGTTAACTATCTTTTTATTTCATCAATAATTAATTTTTTGTTTGTCTGTCATTTTTTTAATGTTTCTTTTCATGATCTTCTGTTCATGATGATTTTATCAATTCATGCATTTTAATTGTACTTCTTTCTTTCATTTATTTTTTCTATTCTATTCTCTGTGTTGGTTCTATATAATCATATATATAAATGGGTCATTTTAAGTTAAGAGGTACTCACTGGTTAAGAGATGTGGCCACGACATAAATGTTAGAAATTTAATCTAAATATGTAACATTTTTATTGAAACAACTAATTTGTGCATATCTGCAAGGTGGCCAGTCAATTTATTTATTTTATCTTGTTTTATGAATGACCAGGGGAGATACTCAATACAGGGGAGAGACTAGGTGTACAAGGTAGGATACTTTATGAACAGGGGAGAGAGAGATTTTAACATTGCTTTATGAAAGAAAATAGACTTTTTTTTAAGAATCAACTTTATTTATTCATTTTATAATTATTAAATTATCAGACTGTTTATTTTCAAGCAGCCTGTTAATATCTTCATTCTGAGGAGGTGGTAGTAGCAGTGGGTCTTTATTATCCGAACTAGGAAGGGTTGTGGCTTAGGAAGGTAAATTATATATGACTTGAAGTGCTAAACGACATCTATGATTCTTTGCTTTTTCTCTCCTCAATTTTCTAGCTTTTCGCTGTTCTTGGGGGGGGGGTCATTTGGTTCACAGTCTTAACAATTCCTTTTTCTTTTTTCTTTTGATACTTTTCACGTTTTTTAAGTTTTTGTAGTGCGTATTTGTTAGGGTCATTTTTATGCATTGTTACCTTAATATTTCTGCTACATGATTTTTTTCTAGGTGTTCTTCATGTGCCATTTTTTTCTTGCTAACATAATCTGTAAAAGACATATTATACCATAATTAAATGTATGAGATAGGCTAAAAGAGTAAAAGTGTATATTGACTAAATTACGGAACGACAGTTCACGTGTTATCCATAAAAATACTCTGATCTGACAGTTTTATATCTCCCCTGGAATCTTAAAAGGCAGGGGAGATATGACGGGAGATAATTTTTAATTAGAAAACCAAAATAATCATACATAATTAACAAATAAATATGAGAATCTATGCACAAATAACAGTAAATATACAAATAAAATGAAGTTCTTAGACAAATAATCACAAAATAAAACTTACCAGGGGAGAGATCACTTCACTTGTTCACAACTGTACCCACAGAGTAACATTACCGAAATCACTGACAAAATGGCTGCATGGTTAGCTTGCTTGATGCTTGCTGCTAACTTCACATCCAATAAAATGTGTTCAAGGTCACAATTTCCCGCGACAAAGTAAACAAACATCGTTTGTTGACGAATACAAAATGCCAGGGACAAATTAGATGTAAATATTATGTAATTTTACTTGTTAGATTACAATAATTTACTTATCCTATTTTTTAAAATGAACGATTTTGATATTTTATTACAGGGGTGGCCAAAACGTGGCGCATTAGACGATTACAAGTGGCGCTTCAGTTAGATCTGAGCAAAATTGCCAGATTTGGCTTTTTTGCAATTAAAAATATTATATAGAAAAATAAATTTTTTNACTAGATCAGGGGTGGCCAAAACGTGGCGCATGCGCCAAACGTGGCGCATTAGACGATTACAAGTGGCGCTTCAGTTAGATCTGAGCAAAATTGCCAGATTTGGCTTTTTTGCAATTAAAAATATTATATAGAAAAATAAATTTTTTACAGTCCGTCTTGGCGAGTTCATTTGTTGCACAATTCGTTACAGTCTATTTTGAAGATAAAATGAATGTTCTCCACATAGTAAATTACAATGTATGCATGTATTGTGAGTCTTGCGATCTTTATTTCCGATCAGTTTACAGGCGTGTAAATGGTTGAAAACATTTATTGTAATTAAAGTTATTCCAAGCCCATCTCGTTCTCGGTACCAATAATTGTGGTGCGTAGTAATCTTCACCAAACAAGACTCTGGCAGCTATAGCACCATCACCAAGCAATCACCCTCTCGTACAGTAGATCATTGCTGACTATTGTAAATTGGTGCTTCAATAAACTGTCAGCAGTTGAATTAATTAATTTATTAATTAATTCAAATGCGTGATTAAGTTATTCCCTTTTCTCCCCTAAGCGAAGCAGATTTATTCTTATCTCTATTTATCAACCCCTAACATTGAACGTAAGACTGTATAAAGTGTCCGATTTATATGGCGCATCTGAACTCGTCTGTCAGAAAATTGGCGCATTGTATGCAAAAGGTTGGCCACCCCTGA